AGCGTGAAGCCTCTGCACTCACATGGTTGATCCTGTGTCACGTATGATGTGTGTATGTCACGACAGCTAGCAGGGAGGCTGGGGAGGCTCCATACTGCCCTTTCTACTCAGACAGGCCATTTCTGCTGGAAACTTAACACAGGAGCACAAAGCTTGCAAATGTGTTCAGCACTGCTGACACTCAGGGAACCTTACATTGGTGTTGGAAAGGAAAGAAAAGACAATACTGACTATGTATGCAATCACATCACACACTGCTTCACAAGCATGGGAAGGAAATGAAATGATACACAGGGGAGGTAGATCTGATTACTGAAAATTATATATACACTCTTGAGGTGAATAGTCTTCATCTAATTTGCAGGTAAATTAATGATTAACAAAGAAGCATGATCTGTTAAAAATAAATTTTAGCGACAGACATATGCAGCCTATTATGCTGATTTTTTTTCATTTAAATCTTCTACTTCAATTCTTTTCTGTATCTCTCTGTGCAATATGAGATGAACTGATGGAGGAACAGCAGTTATAAAAATGAGTGTCTTAACAAAGATGAAGAGACAAAATTGTCACAGTACAAGAACAAGATAAATTATCTACACTGAAGTTAAAACAGAAGATAGAAACTTCATTTTTTCACTCAGCACACAAACAAATTCCCTCAGCATTACCACAAGATGTTGCAGAGGCCACAGGCAGGAAGGGAATGCCATGGAGGACAGAATAAATAATTAGTGGCGTGGGATTCACTGGTGACTATGACCATGTGTGGCTATAGAAGTCTCTAAAATGCTGACTACCAAAATGAAGGCACAGCAGGCAAGGAGCAATTTTTCTTTGCCCTGTGTGTGCCGAAGCATGGTTACACCTGCCTGGAGCAGGGCTGGGGCCACTCAGAGTAGCTTTGGCAGAGGCTTTGGCAATGGTTGCAAGGCAGTAGGAGGGAATGACAGCTACAGCAATCTCGAGTTGGAGATTTCACAATGCTGTGGAAATACACCTCTTCATAGCATCTACCACTCTGGCCCACATCCAAGAGATGATCCAGTGTTAGGCAATCCTACAGTCAGACACCAGTTGCGATTCCTAAAATCTGCTTTTCTTTTACATTGATCTTCATTAAAAAATCCTCTCAGAAAATTTGCTTTCTTTCACCTTTGCTAAAGGGCTACTACTTGTCTCTCCAAATCAATTACACTAGAAATGTGGTCTATTACCAAAATAAAAAAAAATAAATAAGAAAAAGGGAAGGGGGAGTATCGTTGGTGATATATCCTTGTGAGGCTTTGTTCTGGGCACTTCTTGTAGTGAAAGACTTGTCTTACTGCAAACAGCAAGGAACATAGAAATATTTGCCATTTATGTATATAGGCACATACGTAACGGCTGTGTAGCCTGACTTCCTGCAGCTTTCTGGAAGCAACAACTTGTGTCACCGAAGAGTCCCCAGAGAAACAATCCGTTTGCCAGCACTGGACTTTACTATAATGGAGAACACAAACCACATAGGCAGGAAACCATAAAACCCCTCAAGTTAACTGTAGCCAACGGCCAAGGGGCCTGGAGTGGAGCGGGCACTGGAGCCAGGCACAGGGAGGGATGCAGTCCCAGGCCTGTTGCTTGCCAGTGGCTGTAGCTGGATGCTGTCGCCTGTCCCACCACCGCCCCTGGCAGTTTTCTCCGCTGATTTTAACCAGTGCCCAGACCCAAGAGGAAGTTAATCACTAACCACACCGCCTGGACACAGCCCTTCGCTGGGCTGCCTATCCGTCCCCACCGCACCGCCGGGCGGGGATGCTCCGGGGGACACTCGAGGCCACCGTCACAGGCACGGCTTTTTCAAGTGACCCTGGACAGGAAAGGCGTTGTATGCAAAGGGGGGTAACCGGGAAAACTCCTGGGCAATCAGTGGCGTGGAGCTGCTGGTGGGGTTTTTTGCAAGGCAAATACAACCCAGGAATTCACGGGGACAAGGCAGAGCAAACATGAACCTCCTGCGCCGGTGGCTTTGCGAAACAGCCGCTACCACGGCTCTTTTCGTTTGCTACTCCTTTTTTATGGAAAGAGAGTTCGTGGCTCAAAGCCAGCTGTAAATTAACAGCTAAGTGAAACCATTATGTCAGTGGGATGCTTTAATCGGTTTACAAAACACTGCTCGAGGTACGATGCATATTCGTAGGCAGGAAGGGAATGCAGGCGGGTACCCGGGACGTCGAAACCCAGCGGGGTCACCGGCCTCGGCCCCGTCTGGCGGCCAGCGAGGAGGAGGGACAAGGACCTGCCCACGAGCCCCCCGCCCCGAGCATCCCCCAGAGCTGACGGCCGGGTTCTTGTGAACGCTCTGCTTTAGGAAGTCTTCATTAAAGTGCCCCGGAGAAACTATTTGGATGGAGGGTGGGCGGCGGGGCCCCACTGCCGCTCGCTCCGGCCAGTCTCTCCCGAAGCGCCAGGGCAGAAAGGAAAACAGAAAAGGAGGGGGGAACCTCTTAAAAGGAAAACAATCTCAACCCGCGGTCCGCCAAGGCGAGCTGCCCCGGGGGGCGAGGCGCCGGGAGATCGGGACCCCCTTGCCCTGGAGCTGCTGAGCCCGGGCCCCGCAGCACCCCAATCCTCACCGGCGCTCCCCGGCCGCCGCAGCCACTCCCCGGCCCCGGTCCCTTTCCCGGCCCCGGTCCCTTTCCCGGCCCCGGGTGGGCGGTTCGGCAGCGCGGCCGCCCCTCCCTCCCTCCCTCCCCCGGCCCCTCCCGGCGGGGCTGGCCGCTGCCGTCCGGAGGGACAAGACACACCTGCCCCGAGGGGGATGGGGGTGTAGCAATGATGACAAGAGCAGCCCAGTGTTAGGGTTCAGTTCCAGCTGATTTTATTTCCTTCCCGAAGAAAAAAGGAAAAAAAAAAAAAAAAGGAAAATAAAAACAAACGAAACAAAACAAAATAAAAGAGAGGTTATTTACAGAAGGTATATCAACAATCTGACAGGCAGTGAACTTGACATGGTTAGCTGGCATGATTTTTTTTCTTTTTTTTTTTTTTTTTCCTTTCCCCCCCTTTGTTTGGGGGGTATCGTAAAAAAAAAAAAAAAAAAAAAAATCTACACAGCATATTGCACAGGATGGATGACCAAAAAAAAAAAAAAAATAACAACAACAAAAAAAAAGAACAAAAAAGTTAAACCCTTAACGGAACCACCTCATTAGGCAGACGTCCTAGTGCCTGTCATGTTATATTAACATACATAAACACACAATCTTCTTTTTTGCTTATTATAATACAGACTTAAATGTACAAAGATGTTTTCACTTTCTTCATCTTAAACACAACAGCTATAAACCTGAATACATATGCTATCATCATGCCATAAGAGACTAAAACAATTATATTTAGCGACAAATAGAAAGGATTAAATAGTCAAATACAAGAATGAAAAACGCAGTACATAGTGTCGCGAACTCAAACCGGCATTTCGATAGATCCAGTGGTTTAAACGGCACGTTTTTGCTTAGAAAAAAAGTGCAAAAGATGTGGTTTACAAGTTAAAGGTACAGGATCCCTTCCGTGTGTAAATGCACCAGTTGCTTCACTTCATCCGGGGACAGGTGGCTCCCCAAAACGGTAGCATACAGTGTAAAATCCCTTCCCCCGGCCCCCCACCCGCCCCCTCCGCGGAGAGGCGGGGGGCTGCGGAGCGGGCAGCGGCGGGGGCGGTGAGGGATGCTGTCACTTTAAGATGCCTGCAGATTGGAGTGTAAACATGGACAAAATAGGGGCTGATTCGTGGGTGTGTGAGAGTGTGAGTGAGCGTGAGCGCGCACACGCGTGTGAGATACTAACCAGCGGCCCTGTTGTTAAAATCAGGAAATCCAAACAGCGATTTACACCGATTTACACCCCCTTTATATATTTTTTACAAAAATACACTGAGAAAATAATCAAACGTTTTCATCTCTCTTCTCTTTTTGTTTTTAAAAGTGTCAAAAGTCTACATTTAAATATAAAAAATTAAAAGTTAAAACTCTAGCCCTTCAGTGAAGGAGACATAAAAATGGTGCGGGTAACAACAAGAACTACCAAAAAAGGACAAAGAAATACAAAGTCAAAAATGTTTGGCCAGTATAAATACGTCCACTTATAAAATGGCATCCGATTACATTTACAAGGAAAAAAAAAACCAAAAAACCAATACGAGGATGGAGCATCGGTGAGAAAAAACAGTCTTTTCATTTACAGCTATAAGGAACAAACACATACATACTCTGAGAAAAAATTTGGTCCTGAATTTTCATTTTTTTAAAAGTCCAGCACAGATTTGAGTTGCGTTTGAATCCTTTAAAGAGTTAAGAATGAAAAAAAGCTGGTGATATTTTTGTAGGAATCAAACATAGCGCCATCTATCTGCTTTTATATTATCCTAACACTAGTTTTGTTTTTTTTAAACTGTTCAACAGTCTTACAGAAATCTTGAAAAGATAGACAGTATAACATGCTATATTAAACCCCACCAGTGAAATAATCCAACACCATCACGATTCTGAGTAAGAAGAAAAAAAACTACTTTTTTTTTGTATTTTCGGGTTTTTTTTTTCTTTTTTTTTTTTGCAAAAGCCATCGCCCTCCGTTCCCCCTGTACCACATCATGACAGAAACTGTTCCCATTCGGTCTCTGTTTCAAAAGAAGTTTTCAGTGTTCTTGAAGTTTCAGCCTTATTTTTCTCTCTACATATTACATGAGGTGACTGAGAAAAGCGCTGCCGCCACCTTATCTGTACGTGCAAATCCATTTCAGTTTATTATTATTTCCCCCCACCATTATTTCCGAGACAGCTCTCAAGTGTAAGTCTGGCTCTTCTCCGCTTAACTGGGATCTCAGTCCAGCTCCATCCACCTCCTCCTCCTCCCAGCATTGTTGCCTCCTCTCACCGCAGAAGAAACCGGGACAGCATTTCTCCCCACAAATGTGAACCTTCCAAAGGATTTGGGTGGATTTTCTCTTTTTCTTTTTTTCCCAAGCAGTTCTGATCGCTCTTTCATAGGAAAGGGCGAACGCTCAAGACATCCAGTGTGCGCTCAGCACAACGCATCGCTCCCCCTCCTCTTTATTAGTATGAAATGGGCAATAACAAAGAACCCAGAGGTGTGTGTGGTTTCTCCCTCCCTCCCCCTTTCTGTGTCTTTCTTTTCAGGAAATAAAAAAAGGGAAAAGGAGAGCGTCTCTCGCTCCCGCCAGTCTCTCAAAAAGCACCGTCAGGCTCCTCTCTCGGAGGGGGTGTGTGCGGGTCCGTCTGCAGCCGGAGGAAGGGGACTGCTGGCCTTTCCGCAAGGAGAGGGCGATCCCGCCACTTCCCCGAGCTCAAGAAGCAGTCTTTCAACAGCCCCTTCCCAGAAACAAACAAAACACTTCCTCCCCCCCCTAAAAAAAACCAAAAACAAAACACAAACACCAAACAAAACAGAAGAAGACACAAAAGCGCCCGGCGGGGTGGGCGAGTCCTGCCGGCAGCTACTCGCGCCGGTGCCTCCTCCAGCAGGGCCCGGCTCTCGCCTCAGTAAGTGAAGACCAGGTTGGAAATGCTGGACTCCAGCCAGTCCCCCGAGATCATCTCACTTACCTCCGGCGTGCAATAGTCCGGGAACTCAAAGTGCGAGCCCGAGCCGGGCTCGAAGTTAAAATCCAGGTCCCGGTCGAGCACCGAAGAGCTGAAGCTGCCCAGGGACATGCTCTCAAAGCCGGGGCTGGGGTTCAGGTCCAAGAGGTCGTCCTCAAACTCGTCGTCCGACGAAGAGGAGCCGGAGGAGGAAGAGGAGGAGGAGTGGGAGGACGCGGAGGAGGAATGCGCCGTCGAGGGGGCCGGGGAGGAGGCGCGCAAGCTGGTGTAGCTGCGGTGATCCGAGGGCGAGCCGGAGCCGGAGGGCGAGGGGCAGGCGACGCCGCCGCAGTCCCCGTCGGGCCGGCCCGCGCCGCCGCCCCCCTCCTCGTAGAGGCTCAAGGGGTCGCCGGCGTCCGCCGAGCTGCTCAGCGTGGGGCTGCCGGGCACGGCGCCGCCGGGGGAGGCGGAGGCGGCCGCCGCCTGCCCGCTCCCGAAGATGTAGACCCGCTTCAGCTTCTTCTCGGCCAGCGGCTTGCCGGGGCCCGAGGGCGCGCCCGCCGCCCCCCGGGGCTTGTAGAGCGCCTGGTGCTCGGGCGGCAGCAGCGCGGCCGACGGCTCCCCGGGGAACGGGGCGGCCTTGCCCCCCGCCGCCTTGCCGTGGGGCTTGCCGCCCGCGCCCGCGCCGCCGCCCGCGGGGGAGGGCTTGGAGCCGCCGCCGCCGCCCTTCTTCGGGGCGGGCTTGGCGGAGGCCGCGGGGCCGCCGGAGCCGCCGCCCGCGCTGCCCCCGCCGGCGCCGCCCCCGCCGCCCTTGTCCGCCTTGTCGCCGGGCTTGGCGGAGCTGTTGCCCGACTTCACCTTCTTCCTGGGCCGGTACTTGTAGTCAGGGTAGTCCGCCATGTGCTTGAGGCGCAGCCGCTCCGCCTCCCGGATGAAGGGGATCTTGTCGCTGTCCTTGAGCAGCTTCCAGCGCTTGCCCAGGCGCTTGGAGATCTCGGCGTTGTGCATGTCGGGGGACTGCTCCATGATCTTTCGCCGCTCGATCTGTGACCATACCATGAAGGCATTCATGGGCCGCTTTATGTGGCCGCTGGGCGTCTTGCACCAGCTCGGGTCATCCGCCTTGCCCCCCGTGGAGGCGGTGGAACCCGGCGTGGGGGAGGAGGCGATGCCCAGCTCGATGCCGGCCCCGGAGTCGGAGGTCTCGGCGGCCAGCAGCGCCTCCGTGTTCTCCGCCGTGTTGGTCTGCTGCACCATCGCGGCGGCGGCGGCGGGGGGCTCGCCGGGGCTCAGCGCCGCTCCGGCGCGGGGCAGGGCGCGCAACTTCTCACAGCGGCACCGGGACGGCGCAGCCCCCCGCGGCCGCGCCCCCGCTCCCCGCACCACTTGTACTTCCACACCGGCGCCTCGTCCCCGGCGGCGCGGTCCTCTCCCCCTCGAGGCAGCGGCGGCGGCAGCAGGAGCGGCGGGGCCGCCCGCGGTCAGACAAGAGTTTCTGCAAAAGCAGCGCCGCGAGCCGCCCGTCCAAGTTTGGTTTTTTCTTGGGGTGTTTTGGGCTTTTTTGGTTTGTTGTTTTTTTTTTTTTTTTGGAGGGGGGTGTCGGTCTGCTTTTTTTTCCTCACCACATCGAGCTTCCCCCCTCCCCGAAGCAGCTGGTCCAGTTCACAAGTGCGTTCCGCCTGCCCGCGGCGTTTCAGGAGAGCGGCACTCCTGCCGCCGAAAGTCTCTCAGCGCTGGGCACGGCCAGCGTGCACCGCCGCGGGGGAGGGGGGAGGTGGCGCGCCCCCGAAGCCCCGAAAATCCCGGCTCCAGGACCCGTGGTGGCGGCGGGGTCGGCGGCCAGGAGTTTGTGCAGGTTGGATTTGGCAGTTGCGAGGTACCGAGCGACAAGGAAACCCCTCGGGATAAGGAAAAAAAAAAAAAAAAAAAAAAAAAAAAAAAAAAAAAAA